GACACAGCACGTTTGTAAATTAACGATTTTCCAAGTTTCAGCCAACGAGGGAATGGGTAAATGAAGTAAACTTGTCGAGTTTTCCGCTCAAAAACTTTTTCAAATTCGTGCTTGCGTGATCAGGGCGCGAAAACCAAACCATCTTGACGTCACAACCATCGGTGAAGGTAAAAGACGGAATGAGTTTGCGGAATGGCATGTGGCATGGCTTGCGGAATGACATAATTATGCGGAATTTAATTTAAGGAAAATGGCGCAAAGAAACAAAAAATTCAACAGGAAAGCGTGCACGCGTCTCTGCCGCGCCTTTTTTGGCGCCAATTTGAGCGAGCAATAGATTTGCCGGTCCATTTATTACTGTTATTTAAGCAAGGCTAAAATTGAAACACAGCCGATACACGAATACTTGATAAGTCATCCATAGCTCGTTTCCAAAATAATCTGAAACGGTTCTTTGCTCACGCCGGCTTTTCCAGTCTTTTCCAGTGAAGCGCAGTGAAAGTACGAAAACTTGTGAAGTTTAAACAGTCTTCTATTGAGTTTTTGCTCTCCTCATTACATAGAAAAACGTCGTAACGGCGGACGAGGTAAAATAGAAAGGAAGAGAGAGGACCCTGGGATCGAAGCTCTTAGGAAATGGCAGACTCGGTTGTCCCAAATGAAATAATAAAAGATGATAAGCCTCGTAAATACGTGCAGACGTACTGTGACGCAAATCTGTCTGGGTTTTTAGGGTATATAACCTGTGCTACTTGGCTAAACTCAAATCAAATCAAATCAAATCAAATCGTAGTAGAGCCCGCAACATTAAAAAAGCGGCTGCTTGTGAATTGAATAGCGCCATAAAAGGACACAATTTTCAGGTTAATTTATTTCTTTAAGTCTTCTGCATACATTACCGCATAATTATGTCATTCCGCAAGCCATGTCACATGCCATACCGCAAACTCATTCCGCCTTTTACCCTCACCGCACAACCATGTTCACATACTCTTATGCAAGCACGTTTCTCGGCCAATCAGAGCGCGCGTACTATCATAATTAGTTGCTTCATAAAGCAGCATCTAAAGGTTTTTCAAAGAGAGTACCTTCATTGACATTTAGTAGATTGTTGAAAACAATTTGTTGTTTCGTAACCGGATTCGTCACAACACATCTGTAGGCCCCAGTATCCTCTCTTCGGACGCCAACTATGTAGAGGTCTCCACTTTGCGAGATGAGCAACCTGCCATTTTCACCATCGACTATCTTTTCATACGTGGTACTGTTAATTCCTCGAATTTGCCATATAAACTGTGCTTTGGGGAAGCTTTTCACTGCGCTTGTAGGAAATCTCACAGACGAGTAAACCTCAGTGGTGATGGTGTTATCGAAAGCTTCGCGGGAGTGAAGGTCTAGGAGAGAGAAACGGAAAGAAAAAAAGAAGTCAGAAGGATTTAATATGAAATAAAACGAGACCGAAAAACAAAAACAACCAACGCGTTTGTTATGATTAGTCAAAGGTTTCCTTAGTTCAGCGGATACCGGTAATCAATCTTAACTAATACTTGTCCTGCCAAATGATCCTAAAAGACGTCGTTTTTCGAACATTCAAAATATTTTTAAACTTCAGATCAAGGTTAAGAAAGGATCGCAAAACAACCACAGACAACTTCGAAACTAGTCTGTTGTACTAGGGCTCCTGGTTGTACATCACTGTGAATTTATCGAAATTCTGTTTACCGTGAAAAGTAACACGGATAAGACAGAACAAAAACAAGCCCGAATCGTTTCAAATTACGCAAAAACACACAACTGTTGTTAACCAGTTATAAAAACAATTTCCGGAAATTTTGGTTGGGAATTTTCGTTCGGTAAGAGCTGTACGTGTCGTTTAGCATTTGCCTAAAATTTCCGGTTTTGTCACGCCGCGCTAGACTGGATTCTAGTTACAACATGAAACTAGTGCGAAACTCAAGAAACTTGTAAAGGGTAAACGAATTTCCATTCGGAACGTCCCAACCGGGAAAACGGGACTACCTTTTCAGAATTTCCGTTTGTCCCGGGAATTTTCCAGTGGGACGAACCAAAAAAGCTTTTACCATTTACACCCCAACAGGAATTTCCGGGAATTTGTGGTAAATGGTAAACAACCAAAGTAAGTTCATTTAGGCATTTTCTTCACAAAAAGCTAAGATCAAAGGCGGTTTTATTTCTTTTTCTTTTTTTTTTTTTTAGTTTCCCTAATATATGAACCTATAAATCGTTGCGTTACGGAGTGCTACAAGATTATTTCCAAGCGCTCACATTAAGAGAGTTTGGGGCGCTTGTGCTGACAGCTGTTTGTCTCTTACCATTCAGCAGATAATCGCGGGAACGTACCCTTCCGATCACCAACCGATAAAAAAAGCAGTGATAAGCAATCGGAACACCAAGAGAAGTCGACCAAAATGGGTCCAAAATCATATATTGACTTTATCACAGAAAAGACGATAAACAAAGCCATTGGTTAAACCTTTTCCTTTTAACTTTCATAACAACCGAGCCTTATTTGACATGTTTAGACTAGTCGGCCTTTCAGTTCTTTTTGTGTTTTAAAAAGCGATATAACTGTAACCAAAGCTTGTATTGCAATCAATAATGCATATGCACAAAACCGTCGCGCTTAGATGAAAAGATATTAGAAACTCAGATGAGGAAGCTAATTGGAGGTATGAATAGACTGATTTCGGTCAGTTTGTTCTTTTGAATGAAGCCGTATTTCATCATTTGAAAAACGTTGAGAAAACTTCTCAGCCGGTTTCTGAAGTGCAGGATAGTAGAATGAATAATATATGGAAACAAAAACAGGAAAACGTTTTAAAAAAGGAAGGTACTGCCCATCTAGCTAATCCGATAAACGCTTTGGACCCGCTCCGATAGGGAGCAAGGCAATACTTGTGAAATAATAACCAAATATGTTATTAATCTTATGTTCAAAAAGCTGAAAAAGAAGAAAGAATTACTGAAAATGTAACTGATAGAAAACCTTTGATTATTTTATAGTGCATGTATCATTAGTTAGACGTTATTGTTACTTAAATGTAAAAGACCTTAATTGTAAACAGAACCGCTAATTCCTTATGCGCTATAATGGGACAATCATGTTTTCGTAGTTGCAGAAAGTGGTACGGTCAGACTGTAGTGCAGCAGATATTGAGATAACTATGATTCAACCAAAACAGGAAACGTTACGCCTAAAATAGGAAAAAGTAACCAAGGAAATTACCACCGGTTTAGTTTAATCTGTTGATCGACAAAAAGGGTTCAAGACACTTCAGAACGATACAAAACAGCCTCTAGGTCTTGTTTAGTTCACTACCTATAGGCACTCGTCCACTGTATTTCGAATTGCACAGGCATGGCGATAACAAACTCTAGTTCTGCGGAACAATTTTGCATGGAGGTGTTTTCTGTGAAACTGCGTGGCGAGTTGATCTTTCTTGCGGTGGTAAATATTTTCCTTTCAATTACTGCATTTCTGGGGAATGCTCTGATTCTGGTTGCGCTACACAGAGAATCTTCACGTCGTCCGCCTTTTGCTTCCATAGTCCTGTATCGTAACCTAGCAATAACGGATCTCTGTGTTGGTATTCTTGTGGAGCCAACGTATATTGCCTATTTGATGTCCTTGATGGACAAAAGATATGATATTTGTCATTACATACGTGTGACATGCTTTTTAACTACAAGTGTACTATGTGCAGTTTCTTTTCTGACCTTGACTGCAATTAGCGTGGACAGACTTCTCGTTGTTTCGCTGAGGTTCAGATACAGACAAGTTGCAAGTTCTAAACGAAAAGTTATAACTGTTATTGTTTTCTGGATATTATCCATCGTTGGAGCTTCACAATACTTTTGGGATCCTCTTTTAAAAGCGTGGCTGTTTGGCAGGACAATAACATTTCTTTGTCTGATTACCTCAATTTTCTCTTACACAAAAGTATTATTCACCCTTCGTCACAACCAAGTTGATGTTCAGAACAGCGCTGCTCGAGGACAATTAAGCCAAGCAATTCCAGGGAACATAGCTCGGTACAAAAAGACAGTGTACAGTGTATTGTGGGTGCAGGCAGCATTGGTCGTTTGTTATTTACCAGTGGGAATAGTGGGAGCACTTACACCTCAAAGAGGGCCAGTGCCTGTAAAGAATTACCTTGCTAGACAATTTACCCTTACTTTAGTTTATTTGAACTCGTCATTAAACCCGCTGCTTTACTGCTGGAAGATCCGAGAAGTAAAGCGAGCTGTAAAAGCCACAATCATACAACTGCTCTTTTTTGTCGACTTAGGTTAACACCAAATTTTAATTTTTAGTGGTGATATATTTTTTTGTTTTTATTGAAATATACCGTTAACTTCTTCTTATAAGCCCTGGGATTAAAACAGCCATAGTAAGTGATATTAGGAGGGCTTACAAACCGGGGAGGAGGGCTTATATCCCAAGGGGCTTATAACCGGGCTAAAAAAAATAGTTTCATTATTAGTAGGACTGATCAAAATATACGTTTTCAATTTACTCGCTTTTTTAAGCTTCAAAGTATCGTAAAAAATCGAATTAATTTCAATACAAGCTAGAGGAGGGCTTATATCCGGCAGTCTGGAAAATTCAGAAATTTTGTACAAGAAGATTTTATCCTACTCGCCTGGCGAACGTTAAAGGCGATTTTGAAATTTTAATACAATTTTAGATCTCCACGCCCCTATTAGACATATGCCTGGGAGACAATCATCAATATCGTGGCTAACATCTGACATAAAGAAATAAAGTAATGAAAGACAGAGACTATCATAAAAATATGCTGTAAAATATTCTTGAGCGCCCGTTTTTTCTTGTGTCCACTACTTCCACGTTTCCCCTCTACGCAGGCTAGGCTTGCATAGCCACTGGAAACTTAATCAATCTGCCAGAAAAAAGGTAAATACTGAGATGCGCAAAGAGAAATCACACTACTATCGACAAAAAATTGATGCTTGCAAAGCCACAGACCCTGAAATACGTTGGAAAATAATAAATTCACTCACCGGCAAGGGCAATAAAACTACTCTTACTAACGATATCCTAATTAATGACTGTCTCGGCTTTGGACCTGCACCGTTAGAGAGCAAGGCAATACTTGTGAAATAACAGCCAAACATATTAATCTTATGTTCAAAAAGAGCAAAGAATTACTGAAAATGTAACACTGAAAGAAAACCTTTGATTATTTTAGAGTGCGTGTATCATTAGTTAGACGTTATTGTTATTTAAATATAAAAGACCGGCTTTATTGTAAACAAACCGATAACTTCATATGGAGAGTAAGGCACAATAAAGATACCGTTACTGTTACTGTTACTGTTCAGTGGCGGATCCAGAACTTCAGATAAAGGGGGGAGCCCGGTTCTAAAACATTTTTTTCGGCCCTTTGGGCCTCAGTTTCGTCTAGAAATAGGGGGTGCGAGCACCCCGGGCCCCTCCCGTGTATCCGCCACTGCTGTTATATAATTACTGTTACTGATTCCCCCGTCGGGGCTGTTCAAGATAGCCGCGTTGTTTGGAAAAGACACCCCAGGGCACAGGATCGATAAATAAATGATACAAAAACGACTAGAACAACCAGCGAAGTATAGAGCCTGCTCGAGGGAAAGAGTAACAAGTCTTCTTTAAATTTTCAGATTTTTAGTGTTTTGATTAATTATTCAGTCAATTAAGATCAGACAATTAATTACTAATGTGAAATCAAGTTATCAATAAAAATTTTTTCCATCCTAAACCAATCGTGCTCCAGTATTTTCTTAAGCAATGCATTACTGTCATACGAAGCTCTTTGTGCGATCACCTCTCGTAAGCGACCACTAAATCTTCGCTTTAGGTGGTCGCTTACAGGAGGTTCGACTGTAGTTTACTGTTAGTTTTTCCGGCTTTGACTTTTTGTTTTTTGTCAAACTACTCTTTTAAACATATTTTTATCTTTTGAAGAAAATGTTGGAAGTTTCACACTAAAGGTACTAATGACTAGAAATATAGTCAAAGTCGGCTTCTTTAAAGCGGGAAAATATAACAGTTGTAGACTTGCTGATGGAATGAAAATTCTTCGATCCTTTTTTTCTTCACTGAGTTGGTATTTTTATGCTCCTTCAGTGAAGCACCGAATTAAAAGAACACTTGGATATCAACTATTTTTTACTATTAATAAGTTACGACAACTTTCGAGAGTTCCAATCAAACTTACCTCAAAGACAATTCATCTGTTGCATAAAGCAATTTGACGAAAGAGAAATAAAGCCGTCATTTACGGAGTACTGAGATGAAGTTCGTTTAACTTTTAAAACAGTGACCCATACACTCGATATGTTTTCATTCAGCTTCAGCAAGCGAAATTATCTTGGCAAAAGCCCTCTTCCGACTACTTATAAACAATTGTTTCTCGCCCTCACACACAGTCCTGGATTCTGGATTCCACGCCTTGGACTCCGGATTCCAGGTATAGATTCGGGCTCTTTGACAGTGGGACTTAGATTCACGAATCCAGTTGTTAGTGGGATAACGGATTCCTTAAGCTGTATTCAGGATTCTAAAGTCAAGGATTCCGGATTCCAAAAGCATAAATTTCGCGGAATCCTGAATCCCGATTCCCTTACATGGGAAAATGTTTTCGTCATTGGAGAAAGTGATAAGGTGAGACTGTTGTGCAGCAGATATTGGGATAACCATGATTCAGCCAAAACAGGAAACGTTACGCTAAAAACAGGAAAAAGGTAACAAAGGAAATTACCACAGGAATAGTTTAATCGCTCTGTTGGTCGACATAAAGGGTTCAAGACACTTCGGAACGATACAAAACAGCTTAGGTCTTGTTTAGTTCACTACCTATAGGCAGTAGTCCGCTGTATTACAAATTGCACAGGCGTGGCGGTAACAAACGCTACTTCTGCGGAACAATTTTGCTTGGAGGTGTTTTCTGTGAAACTGTACGGCCAGTTGGTCTTTCTTGCGGTGGTAAATATTTTCCTTTCAGTTACTGCATTTCTGGGGAATACTCTGATTCTGGTTGCACTACACAGAGAATCTTCACGTCTTCCGCCTTTTGCTTCCATAGTCCTATATCGTAACCTAGCAATAACGGATCTCTGTGTTGGTATACTTGTGGAGCCAACGTATATTGCCTATTTGATGTCCTTGATGGACAAAAGATTTGATATTTGTCATTACACGCGTATGACATACTTTTTTTACAACAATTGTACTATGTCCAGTTTCTTTTCTGACCTTGACTGCAATTAGCGTGGACAGACTTCTCGTTGTTTCGCTGAGGTTCAGATACAGACAAGTTGCAAGTTCTAGACGAAAAGTTATAACTGTTATTGTTTTCTGGATATTATCCATCGTTAGAGCTTCGCAATACTTTTGGAAGCCTCCTTTAAAAACGGAGGGATATTAACACTTCTTTGTCTGATCACTTCAATTTTCTCTTACACAAAAATATTCTTCATCCTTCGTCACAACCAAGTTGATATTCAGAACAGCGCTGCTCGAGGACAACCAAGCCAAGCAATTCCAGGGAATATAGCTCGGTACAGAAAGGCAGTGTACAGTGCACTGTGGGTGCAGGCAGCATTGGTCGTTTGTTATCTGCCCCTGCGTATAGTGGTAGTAGTTACATCTCAAAGAGGGCCAGTGCCTGTAAAGATTTACCTTGCTAGACAATTTGCCCTTACTTTAGTCTACTTGAACTCGTCATTAAACCCGCTGCGTTACTGCTGGAAGATGCGAGAAGTAAAGCGAGCTGTAAAAGACACAATCAGACAACTGCTCTGTCAACACTAAAATTTTAATTTTTAGTGGTGATATATTTTTTTTGTTTTTATTGAAATATAATGTTAACGTCTTCCTATAAGCCCTGGGATTAAACAGCTATAGTAAGTTGTATTAGGAGGGCTTACAAACCGGGGGGAGGGCTTATAACCCAAGGGGCTTATAACCGGATCAAAATACTTTTCAAATTTACTCGCTTTTTTAAGCTTCAAAGCTTCGTAAAAAAAACGAATTAATTTCAATACAAGCCAGAGGAGGGCTTATATCCGCCAGGCTCGAAAATTCAGAAATTTTTTACAAGAAGATTTTATTAATGATCTTAATAAATCTTGAATCTTTTAATGACCCTATCCTACTGGCCTGGCGAACGTGGAAGGCTATTTTAATTCTAATACAGTTTTAGATCTCCACGCCCCTATTAGCGCATATGCCTGTGAGACAATCATCAATACCGTAGCTGACATCTGACGAAAGAAAGTAATGAAAGGCAGAGACTATCATAAAAATATGCTGTAAAATATGCCTAGTGTGGCCACTGGAAACTTAATCAATCTGCCACAAACAAGGTAAATACTGAGATGCGCGAAGCGAAATCACACTACTATCGCCAAAAAATTGATGCTTGCAAAGCCACAGATCCTAAGATGTGTTGGAAAATAATAAATTTACTCACTGGCAAGGCCAATAAAACTACTCTTATTAATGATATCCCAGTTAATGACTGTCTCAGCTTTACTTCAAATCTGGGACAACTGGTTTGGAAATCTGGACAACTGAAAATTTTTTGGGCGAGGTAGTTTTTCTTGTTATTCGAAAGGCCTTTAATTCAGTTGATCATTCGATTTTGCTAGAGAAAGTTGAGTTTATGGAGCCTCTGATAGGAAACTGATGTGGTGTGAGTCCTATCTATAAACCGCCCGACAGCAACAATGTTTCGGCGGTAGATGGACATTTATCTTTTCATAGAAACTTACTCTGTGAAGTTCCTCAGGGGTCTATTCTTGGCCGTCTGTAATTTCTTATTTATACAAATGACTTATCAAATTGCTTAGAGTTTACTACCCGCTGTTTACATACGGACGATAGCCAAATATTTGCTTCTAGTATTGACGCAGATGTTCTTGCTAATATTATCAATTCTGATCTAGAAAACCTTTGTGATTGGCTCACAGTTAATAGGCTCCAATTTTACCCTTTAAAAATTTAGTTAATGCTCATTTGATCGCCATATTACTTGAATAATAAATCTGAAGATTTACCAAATGCTATATCCATTGACAATAATATTGTTTCTCATGTAACCTCCAATAAATGTTTGGGAGTTTTATAAAATAAAACCCTCTCTTTAGAGACACATTGAGTATATATTTATAAAGGCGTACTCTAGTGTAGGAGTTCTAAGAAGAATTAATCCTTTTCTCGCGCTTTACATTCTTGCTAAACTTATGCATTTCCCTTGTACAACCTTAGTTTGATTACTGTTCGCCCTTATGGGATACTTGTGGAAAGCAACTAAAAGATAAATTGCAAAAAAATCGAAACCATGCGGGTAGGGTCGTTTTCTTAAACTCGTCAATAAGCCCGTAGTTGCTCTATATACGGCTGGAGGACCTGAGAAGTAAGACATTCTGGGAAAGTTACAAGCAGTATCATGATGACGATGACGATGATGATGATGATGATTATTATTATTATCAATATTATTATTTTGACGCACCAAACTAACTCTTTGACCCGATTTGTAGAGCACAGAATATATAGTGAGTAAAAGATACAAACCAAAACAGGAAAACGTGATACAAACAGGGAATTTGTTGCAAAGGAAATTGCCGCCCATAGTTAATCTTTTGATCGACAAAAAAAATGTTTCAACACCCCTTGAATAGCGCGATAGAAACCTTAAAGTCATGGGGTCATATATGTGCTAGGATACTAAGCACAGGTCTTTTCTCTCCTTTTGGCATTACACAGACATGGTGGCGCTAACAAACTTTACAGGGGATGAACACCAGAACGTTGGCTTGGAACAATTTTGCTTGGAGGTGTTTTCTGTGAAACTGTACGGCCAGTTGATCTTTCTCGCTGTGGTAAATATGTTCCTGTCAATTAGTGCAATTTTTGGGAATACTCTGATTCTGGTTGCGTTACACAGAGAATCTTCACTTCGTCCGCCTTTTGCCTCCAAATACCTGAATCATAACCTAGAGATAACCGATCTCTGGGTTGGTATCCTTGTGGAGCCCGCGTATATTGCCTATTTGATGTCATTGATGGACAAAAGATTCGATATTTGTCATTACACACGTGTGACATGCTTTTTCATAACATTGGTACTTTGTGCAGTGTCTTTCTTGACATCCTCTGCAATAACCGTGGATAGACTTCTCGTTATTTTGCTGAGGCTCAGGTACAGACAGTGGCCACTAGCTTAAAAGTCTTACAGTCTCTCGGTGGTTGAGAAGTCCCACTAAGGCACTCGACGGACCACTTCCCCCAGATGAAATCACAGAAATGGATTTGAGAAAGACACGTCCGTCTGTTTTTATCAAGACCAAAATTAGTATCAGCCCAGTATCTCGGACGCTTTGGTCGCTAATCCAGCCCGAGTGACATAAAAGAACGTGAAGTAATATATTTTATTCCATTAACGAACTGAACACAAGACATTGAGCATTTTTAAAATTTAAAGCAGCTGTTACAGCCGCCCAGTAAAGCTACTGCTAGGGATTTCCAAATGATGCAGTTCGCCAAAGTGAATAAGTTTCGCAAAGAAGTAGTAAGTCATCTGTTTAACTGTAAATTATCGGAACTGAGCGTTCTCAATATCCCCTGTAGCATTTCTAAATATGTTTTATTTGCTCGGAACTGTTAAAGGAGCTGTGTAACGGCAGTCCAGTTCATTTTGTTTAATTTTGCCAATTACTCGCCCTCAATCGCTATGGAACTTGAAGTAAGCAAAGAAATTACAGGCAAATGACAAAATCAGAGATCCAAGAATCTGTTTCAGTCTTCGTCAGTTTTGCCCATCCGTGGCATCTGTTGTTTCTGTTATGTTATTTTAATCTTCCTTTAAAGTTTTAAGCGGTTATTTTTATGTTTCTCTAAATTTTAACGGCATTTTGTAATTTCCTAATTTGGTTGAATTTCGTGACACAGCTCCTTTAGTTGTCCAACTGAAACACCATGTAACTTAAGAATCGACGGGCTCTGGGAACGAGAAGTCTAACTGAGGCCTATGAGGTATTTCCGTTTCCGGTACTTGACCCAAGTAGAAGTTCCTACAAAGTGTTCGTGTCCAGGCTTCTAGCAGTTTGAGTATAGGATGCGTTGCCACACGTACGTCGAACGATGGAGCGATATCAAGCTTTAGTTATCGCGAGACAAATGATAACAGACCCCGTTGTTTTTGTTTTCACGCATGGAACTTGTTATGTTAAGACTACTCCGCCAGTTTTTTTTTTCTGCGATAACAGGAGCCGGCTCCTGGCGATAAAGAATATTACTAAATCAAAGCAAGCCAAAAAATATGCAAACAACTATGAGGTCAGCCTCAACATGGATAGCAATTAGAATTTTCCATATTTACGTTAACATTTCAAACTTAATTGTACTAAAGGGACGATTGGTAGAGCTTATGATAGTTAATTACAAATGGCTGCAAACATAAACAGGAAAACGACGCCAAAACAAGAGCTACACAATAGAAAATTACTTCCGATCTAGTGTTGCGAACTGTACAAATACAAGGGCCGGCGGCATGCCTATCATTATCGGCACTGCAGAGAAATGGCCTTCACAAATTTTACAGAAGATGAAAACCAAAAGACAGGTTTAGAAGAGTACTGTTCGTTTGAATTTTCCGGGGAAGTACGTACTCTATTGATCTCTCTCTCAGTGGTAATGATTATCCTGTCGATTGCTGCATTTCTGGGGAACACCCTGATCCTAGTTGCTCTGCACAAAGAATCCTCACTTCTAAGTCCGCCTTTTGCTTCCAGAGTCCTTTATCGTAACCTAGCGGTTACTGATCTCTGTGTTGGTGTCATCGCGGAGCCCATGTATATTGCCTTTTTGATGTTTGTAGTGAACAAAAGTTATAATATCTGTCATTACACACGAGTGACATGTTATTTCATCACTAGTACACTTTGTGCATTGACTTTCTACACGTTGACTGCGATAAGCGTGGACAGACTTCTCGTTCTTTCGCTGGGGCTGAGATACAGACAAGTTGCAAGTTCTAAAAGAAAAGTTGTGACCGTAATTTGTTTATGGATTTTTTCCATTGTCCGCACATCTCTGTATTTGTGGAATCCTAGCATAGCGCGACAGCTGAACAGAATACTCTCACCTCTTTGTCTAACCACCACAATTTTCTGTTACACAAAAATTTTCTTCTCTCTTCGTCGTAACCAAATTCAAGTTCATACCATCGCTTCTCAAGGACAATCAGGCCAAGCAATCTCACCGCTAAACACAGCTAGATACAGAAAAGCAATTTACAGTGCACTGTGGGTGCAGGTAACGATGATTGTTTGTTATGTGCCAGCGAGCATAGTAGTGGCTATGACACCTGAAAAAGGACCAGTGCCTTTATCACTTTACCTTGCTAGGCAATTAACTGTTACTTTAGTTTATTTGAACTCGTCGTTAAACCCGCTGCTTTATAGCTGGAAGATCAGAGAAGTAAGGCAAGCTATGAAAGTTACTATCAGACAACTGCTTTGTTTGGCGAGTTAGTTCTTGATATAAGCTTACTTTTTGGTGACAATGCATGTCCAGTTTCATTGAAGTAATATGCAGGTTAGAAAATTGCCATGATTTTAGTTTAGATTTCATAAGAACATGGGCGGTTTTTGTTTTTAAGTTTAAACAGCTAAGCTTAAATTTTGATATCGGGAGACTATAGCGAACATCAATTGTGAATATCATTGAAATATTTGAATGAAGTTGGTACTGCTGGATATTTCAAAATTATATAACGTAAGAAAAAAAGTTAAGCAACCCTGAAGAATTACACCTTTGTTAACTGTTTTGAAGGAACATTTTACAAAAAATTATTTCATTTTACTCAAAGAAACGGTAGCTTTTCATAGCTCAAGTCGAGCGTACCTCACAGGATTTCAAGCTGATGAATTCATCTAGCTTGCAGCGTTACTTATACATGTAAGCTCAGTAATAATAAAGTTTATCTTTGCAGCTTTGACTCAAGTTGTCGATCCTTTCTTTCAACTCTTCTATCCCAGAAATAGACCACATGAGCATGGCGTTCAACCCGTGGGGGTGGAGGGGCTACTCAACAACGTCTTATACGGGGAGGCTCCATCCCGAGGTCCCACCCCTCACCCTTTTATATCCCATTTTTGACAGAAGAGGTTCCCCTTTTGTATACCCTCTATCGACAAATTGATAGTACCCCCCTTTTACATACCTAATTTAGAACTCTGCATTCCTTTTAACTGCCGTAAATTAACCGTCTTTTTAACATGGATAAATCACTTAACCACGAAGTTTTCTTGTCTCTTTCACATCCCTAAAACGCGTCTGTTAGCCCTTTTTGGTCCTTTTAAGGACCGAAGTGATAGACTTCCCTCCCCTTTCACATACTTCAACTAACGAAATCCCTGCCCTTTCATATACCTAAAGCCTGAAAAAGCACCCCTTTCGGGCGGAGCCTCCTTGTGTAGGCCATTAGAGGGAGTATCCCCCCCCCACCCCCCCACCCCGGGGATCAACTCGTGCACATCGTTGCCTATACTTAACCATGAGCTGATCATTTCAACATTTCTTGTCATTTCACATTACCTTCTACCAAACGTCTCACCGGACCAGTTTCAGTTTCAAAACGTTTCTGTCTGATGAATCCATTCACGGGAAGCCGGACACCCTTGATACTTTCGCCCCGTGGAGTCCAAGACAGTCTTGTATTTTGGATTCCATGCCGCGGATTCCGGATTCCAGGTACTGCAGTCCGGATTCCAATCCGGCCTTATATGTATTCCGGAATCCAAAACCCAGGGATTCCGGATTCCACAGCAAAATTCCCTGGATTCCGGAATCAGTCCACAAGCGAAAATTTCCCTGAGTCCGGAATCCTGATTCCCCTACATGGGGCGAATACTTCCCCTGGGCTGCCGGCCGAGTGATTCCACTTCTGGCGAGCCTGATAGTAAACAGGTCGCCGTTATCAGTAAAGAGATTTCCCGGTTTCGTTTTCGCTTTCAAAACAAACGCACACCATTCCATATTATGTTTAGACTATAACAGTCCTCGCTAATCTAACTGAAGCTGGGGATCGATTACACAACTGCTGTTTTTGCTCAAGTAAGGTTATCTTACACGGTACGATTCGCAACGACGATTTTTAGCGCAGAGGAGCGTAATTGCAATGTTGGAACAATGTTGTAACTATTCAAAACAATGTAGCAACAATGTTGCAACGCTCTGTTGCACTAAAACTAGTTGTTGCGAATCGTCTCGTGTAACATCACCTTAAAGGAAAGAAATTTGTACTCCTAATAATTAACAAAACAGGGCTTCTTATTAGGATGACCACCAAGTTAGTTCCTCTTAAATACGATCCCATCGTGTGAGTTTTATTGTGAGGCCCTAACACTGTGTGTCAGCAGAGCACAGGAAAGTGAACTGGAAATTTAAGCCAGAACAGGAACAGGTTACAAAAACAGGGCAAAGTGGTAAAGGAAACTACCGCCTTTTTAATTAATCTGTTAATCTACAAATAAACTGAGTGTTTTAAAACACCTTGAGGGATCTTACCATAGCTGAGTCATATATGCTACTACACTAGGCACTCGTCCGCTTAATTTTGTATTTCACAGACAAATGGCAGTAACAAACTTTACAGGCGATAAAAACCAAGGCATACTGGAACAATATTGCTCGAAAGAAGTTTTTATGGAAGAACACGGCGAGTTGATCTTTTTTTCAGTGGTAAATTTGTTCCTGTCGATAACTGCACTTTTGGGGAACACTCTGATTCTAATTGCGCTTCGAAGAGAATCATCACTTAGTCCGCAGTCCAAACTCCTGTATCGTAACTTAGCCATAACTGATTTTTTTGTTGGTATCATTGTGGAGCCTGCGTATGTTGTTTATTTGGTGTCCATGGTGAACAAAAGACACGGAATTTGCCATTACGCTCGTGTGACATGTTTGATTGCAGCCTTTGTACTATGTTTGGTGTCTCTGTGTACCTTGACTACAATAAGCGTGGAACGACTTCTTTGCCTGTTACTGGTGCGCAGATACAGACACATTGTCACTTACAAAGGAACATGTATAGCTGTAATCGTTATTTGGGTTTTGTGCGTTGTCGGCGCATTAACACAATTTTGGAATCCTTTTGTAACTTTTCTGTGGGGCTATATAGTTTTGATTCTTTGTGGGCTCACTACAATGTGCTCTTATTCAAAAATTTTTTTCACTCTGCGTCGCAATCAAGTTGTTGTTCAGATGGAACACTCTCACGGACACCCGATTCAAGCAATTCCACGCAACGTAGCTCTTTACAAAAAGGCAGTGTACAGTGCACTGTGGCTGCAGGTAACATTGTTAGTTTGTTATCTACCAGTGGGTATACTACGGCATACCACTCAATCAAGAGAGATGTCTTTTCCGGTTTACATTGCTAGGCATTTCACAGTTACTTTAGTTTATTTAAACTCGTCGTTAAACCCGATAGTTTATTGCTGGAAGATCAGACAAGTAAGGAGAGCTGTAAAAGATACAATCAGACAGTTTCTCTGTTCTCCTAATTTATAGTTCATTTTAATATAGTCAAATATTAATTGGTTCTCAGTTTTATAACAACTGAGGTATCTTAAGAAATAACTGCCTGTTTTAGCCTTGATCTGTCGTACAAGCGTAGTGTCGTGGAGACCTTCTGTTTGATAGCTGTTTATTCATTCCCGACACAATTCAGCCGAATCAGTTGCCATGGATAAGAGATATGACATCATAAGTCACATGACTCGTTGTTATATTTTAGGAGGATCAGAGAAGTAAGCGAAGCCCCGAAAAATACAACCAGAAAAATTTGCTGTTCTTCTGGTTGTTTTTTTCTGCACAAAAAAATAATCTTAGCGATAATTCTCTTACAGCATTAGTAAAACCTTTCTGCATGGGAAAAAATACCAACTCATGAGTTACCAAAATTCACCAGCCTAACCTGTGCCACCGCAGATTTAAAACGCAAAAGTTAGTGATTGTTTTAACAGGTGTATATAGATGACTATCAGTCAATAAGCTAATCCTAAACTTGACTAAAACTGACTTTGTGTTTAAGCTATCATAGCCTGTGTAGCAGCTGGTACACGCGCACGATTCAGTGTAAGTCATTGGTCAGTATATTCCTACAGGAGGTCTAAAGGGTCTGTGACGCAGGTTAAATGTATCAGCGCTTTCTAAAACTCCAACTGTATTACAAACGGTCATCTCGTGATGCAAGTGTCATTGCGAAATATCCTAGAGTGCATATTGATCAAAACGTGAACTGGGAATGTCGCATAAAAAAATATGAATTTGTAGAAAGATTGTTTCTTCTTTTAGTGCAGTTACTAGTGAAGAATATTATCTCAAGTTTCATTACTGAAAATGGGATTTGGGAACTTTGGTCTTTCTCAAAAGCTCAAAACTCGTACAGTCCGAATTTGAATGTCTGCCCGGATTTGTTCCGGGCAATGGGTCGTTGGCGAAAGCTTAATCACCAAATACATGTATCATGTAATCACTATAATCATGGGAGTATTCCTGAGTATCTGAGATCTCTAGATTTGTGTCTCGTGACGACATCACTTCTTATCGATTGATTCCTTTACCAATTATTTAAAGAAGACTTTCCGTTTTATACTGAAGATGAATTATGGAACAGCTTCGCAGCAGTTTTGAATGATTTTACACACGGCATCCTTGAAAACTAGGTTTAATATGTGTTCAATAACATATCATTATCAAATATTTTAGTTAGATATCAGACTGGTTAGATGTAATAGATTTTTATTTTCTTTTAAAATATTGCATGCTGCACTGGGGAAATTCTTACCATGTTTATTGATGCTGCGTGTAAGTTAACCAAGTAAATGCTGCAGCTTTAAAATTTAGATTAAAAGTGACGATTATTTCTTGTGTCCATGCCCTTTGTTATTATTCTTTTTAAAATGTTTATGAAATATTAAATATATGAATTTCATTTATTGGAACTGCGGAATGAAGACGCTACTTATGCAGCTGCGAAAAGAGAGGCTTGAAAAGAAACAGGCTTGTCGGGATTTGAGCCCCGACCTCTGCGATACCGGCAAGTGCGGCGCTCTAACCAATTGGGTTAGCAGGCCACTGAGGTCCGTTATATACCCGGGAGAGATGAGGATGTGTAACCTCTTCAACATATCCATCTTCAAAACAAGAGACAAGCAATCCGACGTTAACCGTCTACATTATTGCCCGTGTGCCATGCATCGAAAAGGGTGGGGAAGAAAAGGAATCTAGGGGAGGGGGATTGAGGAAAGAAACAAATGCCTTGGACCCTCTTCTTTCTCCTTTCCGGTTTACGAATACCCTTGTGCCAAATTTTTTTTCTTCTTCTATTTTCCGTCTCTTGAGCTTTATCAAACAGTGCGCACTGTGATTTCAACTTGAGTTTTTCGAGGACGGATCTCTGGAGCCAGGGTATTTTACGAATGAAAGTGCCAATTATCATGCGCACTCGATCTGAAACATGCGAGCTACATTGTTGCACATAAAGATTACTTAGCGGTCAGTTACAAGAGTTCGGGTGAAACAAATTGTCAGTGAATCACTATTAAGACATCAGTTGTATCTTCCATGAGAGTGGCCGCTTAATAGAGGTTCTACTTGGTTGATTCGCCCCATGTAAGGCAATCAAAGTCAGTCCTGGATTCTGGATTCCACGCCGTGGATTTCGGATTCCAGGTACTGGATTCCACTCTTTTTCAGTGTAACTCGGATTCTGGATTCCATCGTTAGTGGTATTCCGGATTCCTTGAACTGTATTCCGGATTCCAAAGCACAGTATTCCGGATTACACAAGCAAAATTTTGACGAATTCCGGATTCCTCAAGCAAAAAGTTCTCGGATTCCGGAATCCGAATTCCCTTGGCAGTGAAGTTAATGGTTTGAACTCAGGCCTAAGTCATGTCGTGCATAGGTCATGTCAATTTCACTCTGAAAATAACTACCACATATAGATTCTTGAAACTTCAGTCAATATCTCAACAACAACACTCCTTTTCAGGACTACAATCACCAGGAAGATTATATTCCAGCAACTTTTAAGTTGCTGGAATATGAATATTGGAACCTCTTAAAAGAAGTTCGACTTGCCTTCTCCTAATCAGTTGCTTCATTTTTGCTCTTTGGTCGGGAACGAATGCGAGTGACTGGTGACGACGCGCGAGGGACCACGGGAAGGAGAACGAAGAGCCGATGTTAAGAGCCAGTTTCCTCCTTCCCGCCTTCCTTTGTGCGCACATTTACATCGAGAAAAGGAGGTCTGGGAACGAGGCAAAGGTTCAGCTGTATTCAAAATGCAGTGTTTTGCATTTTGCGACTGATTTTAAACTGACTATCTTATGTGATTGGCCAGAGGTTAGGTTAATTTTGCGATAAATTAATTGAAAACCTCTCTATAAAGAAGGGTAGTACTCACAAGCTATCCGTATTACGGCCTTCAAACTCAGTGCTGATCCCATGCTGCTCCTTGCAATGCATCTGTACACTCCAGCGTCATTCCAGGTAACGTTAATAACAGTTAAATTTCCATCTGCTCCCATTAATCTGTGTCGTCCAGTATTGGAACTGAGTGTCAGCATTGTGCCATTATGGGTCCATGTGTAAGTCACTGGTGACGAGCCGATAGCTACGCAAGACATTGTGGCGTTTGTAATTTCAGCAGTTGTTACATCCGTCGGTTGGGTGAAAAACTTAAGTGCTATTGTATCTGTGGAATTATCATGATAAATAGGGGATATTACACAGTGGCGAAAAGATATGAATTTTATGTTTGAGTGGCAAAAACAATCTTGCTCTTGCCACGAGAACGTTATAATTCGTTTCTTTTTGGCAAGCTGACGTGCAATTATCTTTTCGTCAAATGGACAATTTATCTTTGTAGAGACTGAAAACTTAAAAAAATACCTTGTACTTCGTATTATTGGTTATTTGCTATGTGATATGAAACTTGAATAGTCATAACAATAACAGTCATATTTTATCCCCTCTTTCCCCTTTAGGGGTGTCTCGCTCTCCACGCCCACTTTGCACTTGCTTGAAAAAACGTGGAAAAATTAAATCTGTTCTCAATGCTGTTCTCGAGGAGAAAGCACGTGCGTATATAAACCAATTAGAGGCCTGGGAGCAGGCTGCACATTGTAACTGTTGCAGGCGTTCAGGCCCGGGGAGGCTCCCATATGAAATGGGCATGGATGCTGGTCGAAATTTTGAATTAAACCCCTAAAGGAGACCAGTCTGGGCGTGGCTCAACCTTCTTTTGACCCCTAAAAAAGGCCATTTTTAAACTTTGATTGCATAAATCGAGTAAATAAAACAAATTTAAAATATATATTTCTATATATAATTCTTCGCGTGCAACCCTAAAAGAGACCTTTACCGCTAAGTATAATGGCGTTTTGTCCAGAACACCTTTAGTGAGGCCAAAATCCCAAATTTACACTCCTAAGGGAGACGACGAGCATCCCTGCCCCTTTCATATGAGTGTCCCCCCCTCCCCAGGCGTTCAGGTAGTGGAGTGTGGCACGAAGTCAATGAGCGGAAAGAAAAAATAAAAATACTAAGGAGGAGGAAGATAACGAGAGAGAAGGAAACTTCGCTTTCACTCCCTATGTCACATCCTTGCTCTTTCTCCAGCTCATTTGCCGTTCCTGCTATCTGAACACCTGGAACAAGCTTGCATAATGTTGTCCCAATAGTTTCGTTTCCTATTATAAAAGGGGAAAGTTCTGATAACTTCGGTGATTATTAAGTTATAACCAGGACGTACAGAGAAATTCCCATTCATCCATTCCTACTCTCACTCTATTTCGACCCTACTTGTGAAAGAAAGGTAAAGACAAACAGTTTTTACTGCGTATCTGCCCTTTTTGGCTTTATACGCAAACAACTGAGAAGTATATCAACCGAGGGATACTCAATAACGTTTTCTACTTGAGGCTCTGCCCATAGGTCCAACTCCTTACCCTTTTATGTAGCATTTTTGGCAGAGAAGGTACCCCTTCATCATACCTTCTATTGACTAATCTTCCACATAGCTTGTTTGTCTTTTAAAAACAAATAAATCACAAAAACAGAACCTCAACTTTTTCACAACCATAGAATGCATAATTGGGGCCTTTCTACAGACCGAAATGACAAATTTTCCTACTCTTTCATATCCTTGGAATGCCTAAATCCCTACCCTTTCAGATACCTGAAGCCTGTAAAGCCCCCGAAATGATCCCCAACCCTGAAATGATCCCCAAATCGACCCCAAAATGATGCCCATTTCTCTTCACGTCGCCCCCGAAATGATCCCCAATTAATTTTAGGAATGCAATTTGATATACAGTCGACTCCCGATAACTCGAGCCCTCGCTAACTCGAACCTCGCGCTAACTCGAACCAAAATCGATTTCCCCTGGATTTCCGTCATACATTCACTGCAATTTTACCCTTGGTAACTCGAACCCTCGATAACTCGAACCAATTCTCGTTTCCCCTCAGGTCATCTTCTATATAATTTTACCCTCGATAACTCGAATAATGTTTTGAGCCCTTAAAAAGTCGGGAAAAAAGCCGTCTACTGGCGTCCGAAACATTGAATTTTGGATTTCCTATTGACATGTTGTAGGAGTGTAGTCTGCTAGTGGAGGCTGATGTTGATTGCCACAGGCTAACGAGAAGCAGCTTTACTTCTCAAAACAGTAAAACGCATGCTCTACTTAGGTCATTCAAGCTATGTTTTGTTACGTTACGGTCTGATTTATAATCTAAAAGTATCTTTTAATTTTCACTTGACATTTCTACAATCAAATGTGATTAAAATGTTCACTTTGCAGTAAAAACTGTTTTTTTACCTTACTCTCGGCTATTTTCTTCGAGCTCCCGATAACTCGAACTTTTTTCGATTTCCTTCGAAGGTTCGAGTTATCGGGAGTCGACTGTACTAGAACTATGTATCGAGCAAAATGCACAACATTAATTAAAGTTTTACTAATAATCGTCACGCGCTCGCATTCTTTAATGAAACGAATTTGGAATTACACTTTGAACTGGATCAAAAGAAAATATTATTTGATACACAAAGTCAAGTATATTTTTAGCAACACCATGAACTGCATCTGATAACATCAAGATATTAAAAACATTCCAATGCATAACGTTTTGTAGCATAACTACTTAGGTCATTATAGCCCGAGTCATAGAGAAAATTGCAGAGATGTTAAATTCTAAAAATGATGATAAAACTGTATACCTTGGATAATGATTTTAAGAATGGTGTTTTAGCACTTTTCAAAATTTTAATATGATATTGAAGATGAAAAGTAGACATAAAGGCGATTAAATGACGAAAGTCCTACTGAAAAAATCACATAATTTAAATGCGATTCAAGAACGTAAACGCTGCAACAGACGTGTAATAATTCCGCGGTGGAATACCATTCCATTCCAAGAATTAATTGGGGATCATTTCGGGGTCGACGCGAAGAGAGATGGGGATCATTTCGGGATCGTTGTCATTTCGGGGTCGAATTGGGGATCATGTAAGGGTTGGGGATCATTTCGGGGTCGGGATCATTTCGGGGGCGGCTGTACAAGCCTGAAAAAAGTACCCCTTTCGGGCAAAGCCTCCCCGGCCCTTATAGCACATTATAGGGAGTGCCCCCGGGAAAAAAATCATTAGATTTAGCAAATGAAGCTAAAATGGCGCTAATCTCGTAAAATAAGTTTGATCCGGGTTTAACTGCCATATTGGTGAATGATTTTCTTTTGTGTTTCTTAACATTTAAATTCCAGAAATCACTGTAGGAATGAAAAGTAAACACCTTTAAACGCTCCATTTGACAGATAAGACAGCTGGGATGCTAACCCTTGGCATTGTTGAGCAATGCATGGGCAGAAAAAAAAAAATATTATTGTTAACATCCGATAATATAAGGTCTTCAAGGGCAATCAAATTGAATAGACTTTATAAAGAATGGTAGAGAGAAATCACTCATAAATTTTTTCAAGAGAAATTATCAAGGGAAGCTCGAAAGACATGATATTGTAAAAATCTACCTCATTCGAATGGCAGGCATTAAAATTTAATATTAGTAAAAAGTTAATATTTATACTGAAAGGTTGAATTTGCCTGACAAAATAATGGTCTGGCGAGAATTGCTTCTTCCTAAATATAAAGCCAAAGAAGTACCGGCTCAGTTTGTTGCTGAAATTTTTTTTCTTTTTCCGGCGTAGAACTTGGGACGTTCAGACATTACACAACGACGGGAAATTTTTCTGATCCTTTCGTGTTTGAAATATGTCTTATCTTGTCTTTCTAATACATAATGTATTCTTACTTCTGTTATTGGCTTACCTGCAACAGCGACGTGTTTAAGCAGCGATAAAACCTTGTAATACCAGAGGATTCTCACAAAATTAAAACTCGTCATTTTTCCAGGTCTCTTAATTTCAACACAGGAGAAAGGATTGAAAATCATTTCAGTCAAACGCGACGACTCATTAGAACATTGTTTTGAAGAATTCCCTCGTGACATGCTCAATTGACAGTTGTTTTAAACAGAAACGCCCCTTCAAAACATAAGGCGTTTTTGGTAGAAAGGTAAGGCTATTTCTCAGTGAAGAAAAATATGAGAAGATTTCTTGTAGGGATAATTGTCATGCAGCGTGGGTTTCCTCAAATCTGGTCTAAAAGCATTTGGCAGACAGAATTAGGAGATTAATTTTGAAAAAAACAAACCTCGTTCCCAGGTTCTTTCTCCTACCCGTCTCCCTCTCGCTCCGTAGGGAAGGGTAGGGGAGAACTCTGGAACTTATCAAGGGAAAAATGGAGCTTTTGAATATTGGCTCCAGTTTGCTGTTCAGAGGTAGTTTCTTTTGTGGTGATGGCTGCCGGCATGATATCAAAGAAGGCTAATAAGTTATAAACCATGCAAATATTAGTTTCAATTTTGCTATACATACATTTGATTATTTAGCGCAAACTAAGCAAGATGACATGAAATGTAAGATAAGTTTGAAATTTTTGTAAAGTTGTATTGTAATAACTTCACTGCATCTTGTTGTGTCATTTATCTTTCTTTTCCTTTCCTTTTCTTAATTTCCTCCTATTAAATTACCTTACGCTTTCCTCTGCCCTCCTCGATAAGCCAAGCTATATGCGAGCAGGGAATGTTTGTATGTACATGTCTGCTTGACTTCTTTGGAGATCAATAAACTTCCATGGACTTCTGTGGACTTCATGCGTCCTCAATCGCCAACCACGCCCCCCGCCCCCACCCTCATCCACAAAAAGGGCCGTAACAGCGGGAATTCATTGTTCTCTATGAAGCTGACCAGGGTCAAATGCTACTTTCCTCAAAAGGGAATCTGTGTGGTTGGTGGAAGGAGGGTGGGGGGAGAGAATTCTGCTGGGGGCCATTTTCATAATTTTAATTGGCTTTGGGGGGTCATTTTAAGATAAGGGAGCAATACATGGGGTCCATTTTAATATAATTCATGAAAATAGTATTTTTTTTAAAAGCAGTAAAGAACGTGAATTCAAATTGAGTGTAACAGCTGAAATTGTAAACATTTATCTCATAAGCACTACTGTAGATCAGGAGCCGATAAACGGCTCCTGTGTAGATAAAGTATGTGTCGGAACTTTGGAACGATTTGGACCCGATTTGTACTAGGGTAGCCCTAATCCGGAATCCATGGCGTGGAATCCAGAATCCAAGACTGTTTTTGGATTTCTTTACAGGACCTTACATGGGGCGATGTGTGATTCTTGTGACGGCCATTCACCCCGATGAAGGCCGATGAAATCAGCCAAAATATACCGTGTGGCACGAAATTTTTGCGGGGTTTTATCTTTGCGTATTGGCGATTTTTTGTGTTTTGAGTGAAATAATTTTTGCGATTAGGACAGATTGGTTATTCTTGGTGAGAATTAATTTTTGCCATTTTCAGAAAGTACCCAGTACCCAGCATTGACAACAGTTTCGTTTTTATTGAGTACGTGCAATAGAAATGCATATTTTCAAAGAATACTACGGTGTGCGTCAGTATTTCTTTATATACCGCTTTCTTTCTGAACGTAAAGACAAGTTGTAATCAGAACAGACACGATTCCTTGGTACTTTATTTTTGTGTAGTGAATTCAAGTTAGAATATTTACTCTGGAGTAAATTTTGCGGGAAAAATTAATGCGATAATTTTTATTTCATGGCGGGAACTTAATTTTTGCGGATCGCTGAAAAAAAAATCCGGAAAAACCGCAAAAATTAGAACCCCCCAAAATTTCGTGCCACACGGTAGTAGAAAGACAGCAAAAATCACTTTCTTGTACTTTTGATTGGTAACCAGACCAAGATCGGCGCGGCACAGCTTCGCTCCGTTACAGAAACCGCTCTGAAATCAGTGTGATCAAAAGCTTTATCCGACTGATGTCCGGTATTCGTGTTAGCGCGCACGCGCAGGAGCTATCCGATATAGTGCAGACACGGCCTGGTATGACATCAACAATTATGCATATCGAGGAGGGTATTATTATCTGCCGAGGCTGAAGACAGATATGATTATTTATGTCATACGAAAAAGAAAGAAGAACTGATAAGTATTGGTGAAGGGCGAGGATGGCCTCTTCTTATATAATCTTGCTCAGTCTTCACCGAGTTAAGGTTTGGGTGTTCTAAACTAAGTGCCCTTTAGCCTTTCTAAAACAACAGTGAAAGCAGAATGAAGCAGTTCTTTCAGTGGAAGACAAGAACTAAACCACGGACGACAACTTCGAATCAAAAACAGTTACTGTAATGTTTCGACGCGATCTTTCAGACAAAGTCTAAGTTTCACGGCACTTGAAGCGAAGAGGCGGTTTGTTTCTCTTTAAGTTAAACTTTTTTTGCTGCATGCCAGAAAAATGATTTTGGGAGTTTCTATATTTTTTTTTCCACATTGCCGCCCAAACAAATGGTCCATTCGTGAAAGTACAATTTTTGGATTTTTGTCCGCTTCTTTTGTTCGGCTCGTCGATTATTTTTTTTGGGGTGGTTTAGTTATCAAGTTTCGTTGATTTGAGGTGCGGTTTCGCTGTTTAGGTTCCAGGGCTCCCTCTTAACTTTCTTCATTGCTCATTTCCGTTGCCGCCCTCCTTTATTTCCTCAGCAAATCAGTGTTCGTATTGCTTGCAGTCTTATACGCCGTCAATTCTATTGTTGGTTGCCTTCTCATCTGCTCCCTCGTTTCCACAGCCAGACTTTGTCTTTTCGCGGCTCCAACACGCCAACCCTTCAGTAGAGTAGAACAGCATTTATAAAAGACAGCTTTCAGGTTTGACCGGAAACTTTCAATGAATATAAAATACAAGCATGGATTGCAAGCACTACTGGTAAGCATCAACCAGTACGTGAATGCAATCAAAAACGGGTATTGCATGAAGATTTTAACTGAGCTTGCATGAAACATAGCCAAGCTAAGAGTCACAAAAGCCGGCGTCCACGAGGCAGCAAACAGCAGTACGACTGAAATCATTAGAAGTGTGACCCTTCGAGCTGTGTGTCTGGCCAAGTCTTTCTGAGTGTTGGAGCACTCACCGGGAAGTTTGCGCATCCAAAGGCGATAGGCTATTATGGAGTATAGAACAGCTACGAGAACAAACGATCCAATGAAACATGACGCAGAGGTGAAAAGTTCTTTCGCGCTTTGCGCAAAATACATACAGTTAGGGGTTCCGTCCTCGCCATAATGGATTCTTGACGATATCACCAGTCTTAACGAAAGTAAAGTTGAAACTATCCAAATTAAAAGAATTCCTATCTTTAGCACCAATTTGGATGTCGTCTTATGGGTCAGCGGTCGTGTGACTGCAAGGAAGCGATCAATTGCTATGGCAACCAGGCTATAAACTGAGCTATTGAGTAAAACAGATCCACCAAAGGTGAAAGATTTACATAATACTTTCCCCTCAGTTCCTCCGAACCATATCTTTCCAATATAAAGTTGTTTGATAAGGTGAGGGGTTTGAAGCAATGAGATCAGAAAATCGCAAAAAGCCAAATTCATGATGAGACAATTCGTTGATGTTCTCATGACGCGGTTTGTCATTATCACGTAGATCACAAGAAAGTTGCCGGTAATTGAGACCAGAAAAGAAAACAACATGGCGGCGGTGAAGAGAACTTTCGTTGGCAGGCTGTAGTTTGGATCGGTAGCATACTGAAGATCTGTAGATTTAAAAGTTTCAAAATGATGATCAGATGAAACAGTCCAAATAGAAATCTGTAGCCAATCTTTTTATGCACATGCTATCATTGACTGAAGATGAGGTACATTTAAACGGCCGAAATCAGTATTTTTTGGTATCACTGACGTTTTGTTTTTCCCTAAATTCATTGCTTTGTGTGGGTTAAGCAAGCTGTTGCCTCAACTCAACCCTTTCAGCTTTGGCTTCCATGAAATAAGTAGTACTGAGCACAACTTAGCTCTGTCCCGAGCTTTTACCCCTTTAATTCCAGCCGCTTAACAGCGGGGCGACCACGCAGTGATGGGAGAGGGAGCAGGGGCACCCAACGACAATTTTCGGAAAATTATCTGTTCGGAAGACGATTTGAGATCTAGAATTTTCGGATCATTTTCTGAAAAATTTCTTGCTTGCCTGCCTCTCCTAGGATTTTCCAATATCAAAAAAATCGTATAATTGCCCATTTTTAACGGATTTTTACCCTAAACAGGTCACCTAGAATTTTCGGGAGCCTTTTTTCTGGCTGAAATTTTCGAAAAGGTAAATTTTGATCCCTCTAATTTTCGGATCACTATACTTTCAGCTAGGAAATCCGAACAGATGAAAGTACGTTCAACGATGCTATGTTTATGTGGTTTTGGACTATATTCTCGTTTGGTGCCCCTGAGGGAGATATATACTCACAAATAAGCTAACATGAAAATCTTTTCAAGAACTACAACCAAAGTGCTTTTTTTCCACTTATTAACCGAGAAAATCACAAGTCGCGGGAAAAACTTACTTTAAGGCCATCTGTACTAAACATATTGAACTGCTTAGTTGTTACCAGATGGTCTCACAAAATTGAACTATCCCCATGATCTTGCTTTTTCATTGGCTAACCACGAATAGATTAAAAGAAAGCAATAGGAAAAGTAATTTTTCAAGCACACTAATTGGAAAAGCCTTGTTTACATTAAAATACTTTTTTGAAAAGGGTATGCCGCGATGTCCTACAAAGCAAGAGTGTTTTGTTTTCATTTAATTTTTTATCGTCAGCAACTTGCCAAGATCTATTTGATTAGCCGATATGCAAATTTAAACTCGAAAGGAAAAGCCGCCTAAGATTTTGATATTTTTCAATGTTTAAAAAAGTGTTGCTTTTTTTAAAAATATTTCAATTTTCGTTTTTGACCAATAGTTTGGAACATAAATGACCTTGAGCGGGTT